CTATTATCTGAAATACATTAGTACACTCAGATTCTTTCAGCCGATGTTTACTAATATCCCACTAAAAAAAAAGAATAAATCATAATCTGTTGACATTTGTGAGCATTATTTGCATAGCACGCTAAAATTTTTAACCTTGAGAGAATTTTTCGATTTTCTATTTAATTTTTCTCCTCACATTATACATAAGCGTACGTGTTGGTTTTTTTGGAAAATGTTATAAATAATTAATGTTTGGTAAAATATATGGATGAAGATTTTTATAAAAAATTATTACGTTGCAAAATTAGCAATGAAAAAAAATGTGCAAAATTTTCAGAATTAAATAAAAAGAACAAATTTGACTGAAATTGGATGAAACTACAGGAAAAGATAATCGTTGGGGTGCTCAACAAATACCCGCAATGCGGACCCCGAATTTCAAAATGGCGGCCTATTGCAAAATTATAAAGCACGCGAGCGCGTATATTTTCTGCCCAAGTCAAGATATCGAAATTTTGTAGAAAAGGTTCGAAAGGTAATTACATTATCTCGCGTCTGTGCAAATTTCAGATTTTTAAGATGCAAAATAAAAAAGTTATTAACAAAAAACTTTATCCTTATTTCGGCAATTTTTAAATATACAGATTTCAGACCAATTGCATCAAATAGTGCTTAAATAAACATGAATTAACACGTTCACTGCGAGATAATCTCAATGTACTTTGTCCTTGACTGCGATACATATCTTCGGGGATATGTAACAAAACTTCTTCTGTCTGCGGTACATATCCCTGGGGATATGTAATTTTTTTACATTTGACACTATAAAATTAAAAATAACACAATTATTGCTAAAAACTTGCATGTATCTGCAACTATATATCCTAGGATACTAACGTTTTCATTCGCAAAGAGTTTTGAAAAGAAAATAATGGAAAAATCATTATTTCTAAAAACTACAGATTCTGCAACTTCCAGATACAGTAAAAATGTGATTATTGAGATTCGCATATTTTTTATAATGAGTACATACCCCCGGAGGTATGTACCGCAGTGAACGTGTTAATCTAATTCACCTATATCCGAAATCGCTTCGTTTGACCGCTAGATGGCCTCAAAGTTCGTGACATTTTTTTGAATTTTGTAAATAAGTCGAATACGTATTAATCGATTTTGATTATTTTTGTGTTGTGGACTTTTGCTTTCAATCTACATATTTTGGTGCTATACAGAGTATTTTTTAAAACTTACAACTCCTACAAAATTGATGTATGGTGATAATATCCGTTCATAACTGTTTCCTCTTTCGGGCAATAATGACAACTATTTTTTATTTGATAGGTGATACAAGTTTTTAGGCCTCTTCTAAAATGTTAAATTAAATGAGCGGTTTGGGTACAAAAAATATTTTTTAAATGTCTACATTATCTTGCCACACATTTTACAATACTTAACAAAGTGCTAGTAGTCACTAATTTTGTAGATTGACTAATTTCAGTTTGAGTCATTGTACCNGTCAAATGAAAGTCACCAACCTACGTCACTTTCGGCTTTCAGCCTCAAGGTCATCCATACACAAACGTCATCGGCCTTCGGCCTCAAGTGTAAAATTCCTCCTATCTCAGATACCATACAAATCTAATTTCAAGGTTAACTGCAATCCAAGGTCAAATGAAAGTCACCAACCTACGTCACTTTCGGCTTTCAGCCTCAAGGTCATCCATACACCAACGTCATCGGCCTTCGGCCTCAAGGTCATCCCAAGCCAGAAAGTGGAGGGGGGAGACTCCGAGACCGCAATTATACCCTACTGCCACCCTATGGACGTATTACGTGTATACAAAGACAAAAGACATTAAACAATTGAAATACTTGTTTCAGTGTTTAATTCTGTTTAGGATATGTCAAAACTAAGTTGATTACTTTTCAAAATTCTTCTAAAGCTTCGTAAATGTTTGAAACAATGATTATTATTACGAAATAGATTCCACGAATGGAAAACTTCTTTACTGAAATGAAAGGAATAATTTTCCTTTTTTTTTCTGTCTTATTGCCAGGAGAACAATTTAGAAAAGTAGATAATGTAGATAGATAAAATTTTAAGATGAGGATTACAATGAAAATACATCCACATTACGCTAATAAAAATGTTTTTGCTAAAATCAGCCCATTTTCACGCCAAACTTTAAGTAAATTTTACGGCAGTCAGGACGGGTTTTTTTCCATTTCAGTGGAGCAGTTTCCTTAATAGGAACAATTTTTCAGAAGCAGAAAAATTAGAAGAAGCAGAGAGGCTATTTGGGATACTTTTTATCAAAATACTTTCAATTATGAGCAGTTTCATACTTTCCTCTTTTATCTGTTACTACTATTTAACGATATTATGTAAATATTTAAATAGAGAGAACTATTTGTATTATTATTATAATTACTTATATCACTAATGCTTAATTTAATTAGAAAGCTTTTTTGGATGCCACAAATATTTAGAATGAAAAAACTTCTTTGAATAATTTATATTCGATAAGAAAATTTCACATTAAAATTATTAATAAAATTAAACCCGACATTTTGAAGTCGATTCATCAGTCAAAATGTAAAGAAAGCCATGCCAGACGTGCTGATTTGTCATCTCTGCCACGTTGATGTTAATTGCTTAGTCTAAGTCATAGACCTAGTAAGGTCTATGGTCTAAGTAGACTTTTATCGAAATTGTGTAGTATTTTAAAATGTCTCATTTCGGTGAATAAGATCAATCAGTAACTCGAAAAGAAGTTCAAAATTTAACGTAAAAATATCAAAAAGTCTAAAACAAGCCTTTGAAAACAGTTTATTCAAATTTTCAGTGAAAAAACGTTTTCGACTATCGAACTATTAGCGAACATATTGGAAGATTATGCTTTCAATATGAAGAGGAGAAATTGTGCAAATTATAAAGTGTAATAATGTGGACCTCCACAGCAATGCTACTACAAGAAATGTTTTATGAAAAATGTAAAATTCAGTTCAATCCACTTTCTGATGTAGAATTTGCGGCTTCCAGAGCTGTTCAAGATGCTGTGCGAGGAAAATTACAGAGCTACCCCTTAGAAAGAAAATTCGGCTACTCATCATTAACAATTAATTTGTATAAAAGAATTACCGAAATTTGGGATGAATTAGAGCGTATTTTTTTCATATTACTTCATACGAATTAGCATGGAGAGGAGGGGAAGGATTTTCTACACGCAATCAATTTTTCAAAGAAAAAATTGATAATCTGGAAAACCTGACAGGTCGCATTGAATATAACCTAATCAGGGGATAATCTAAGGTTTTAAGAACCACCCAAAATCAATCACCCTATGCTAGCTCAAAGAAAGCGCCCGAAAAATTCGATTTGCACAAATAACTTGTTGCTCCCAATAAAGCCCATTACCCCCCCCCCACCCCAAAGAAAAAAGAAGATGCAGTACTTTTTAAATGCCGGACAATTATAATTCTTCTTCTGTTATATCCTTTCGAGTTTATTAATTTTAAATGTTCATATACTGTACTCAAAGTACATACTCATTGTTTTATTTCAATAAATTTATGTTATGTTATGTTATTTATTTATTTATTAACCTTTTAGAGGACCGGCATTTAACAAGTATTCATGAAATTTCAATGTCATACTAATTCAAGCAATCAAATTTTGCAACTACCCTTTTTAACTTTTAGAACTAACTTTTTTTTAAGAACTGCCTTTTTGGTTAGAACTAACCCTTAGATTATGCGCTGAACCTAATCATCTTTAAAACTACATAAGGTAATTCGGACATCTTTAAATATGTCGAGATAATCGACTTTTCACTTTTTTTCTTATGTTTCGTCACTTCTAGTAGTTGACATAATTATGATTGTATGACAGCTAGAAATTATTTCTTTTCAGGAACTGTAGAGTGGAGATGGCTCTCTCAAAAGACGTATCAAAAATTGACCTACGATATACAGGGGGCAAAAAAATCGTGCCAAACTTGATAATTTAAAATTTGAAAAATCTCGACTTTTTCAAATAGCTGTGTTTTATGATTTCATTAGATGCCTTTCTGTATACCCTACAATTTTTTAATAGCTTTCCGTATACCTAAGTTGCGTAGTTTTTGCAAAAAAAACATTTTTATATAAAATACCGGATTTGCGCCGGTTCCTTTGGCTGTAATGTGATTCTTTTATTGTTATTATACTTTTCCTTACCTATTTATCTTTCAGGTTAGAGAACACCTAAATCACGTAAATCCAAACCAGTAGTTAGGTCGTGGTGGTCCAGTTTCTTGGCCCGCACGTTCGCCTGACTTAAATAGTCTGGACTTTTTCTTGTGGGGTTATATCAAGGAGCGAGTATACGAAGTACCACCAACGGATATTCAAGTTTCAGTTCCTGAAAAAAAATATTTTCTAGCTGTCATACAATCATAATTATGTCAACTACTAGAAGTGACGAAACATAAGAAAAAAAAATGAAGAAAACTATCAATATTTTAATAGGGATCATAACACAAAGTCCCGTTAATTTTTCACGTAGAATTCGATAATGCCATAAAAAATATAGATTTCCATTTAAAAAAATTAAGTTGGTACCTGCCCAGGAAAAACTGAACACCCTGTATATATAAATATATTTTCATTTTGTGGAGCTCGGGAAAGTAGGCAACTCTGTAAAAAAAAATTAAGTTATATCTTTTATTAACCTAGATATTGGACTTACGCGCACTAGGTGGACACGGTGTATAATATTTAAATATTTAACAAAGGAAAAAGTCATAACGCCCATGCTTTCCGCAGAATTTACCAGACATTTTAATTTCTCGCCCCTCAATATTTAAAGTCTCGAAAACTCGTACACAAATTTTTAAGGCTAAAGCAAAAATCGATCAAATATTATACCTGAGAATAATTAAGCAATCAACTTCCGGGGAAATAATTGAAGCATCGATTTCTTTATCCGTTTAATTAATATCTCATTAAAACCGTAAATAACGTATCATGTTTACCAGGTCGATCAGGGACTCCGCCTGTACAACCAACACAAACAGCAGCAGGCGGTGCGCAAATGGAAGTCGGCTCTCAAGGCGATCAGAAAAAGGGAGGACAAGTTCACCCTCCTGGGGTACCTCTACCAGGCGTACATGGACTGGGGGAAGTACAGGTGAAATTCATTGATTAATCCAATTATTCACTTATATATTCATTAATTCATTAGTTTATTGATTAATTCACTCATTAATTCAGTAATTAATTCAGTTGTCCATTCAGGCTGTTATTCATTCATTGAATTACTCATTCAATCACGTATTTATTCATTAATTCACTCAATAACCAATTAATTGGTTCATTTATGCATTCTTGCATTAACGCATGTCTTTATTAATTCATAGATGTATTCATTTGTACATACATTTATTCATTCATTCATTCATTCATTCATCAATTCACTGATTTATTCATTAATGGATTCAAACACTCATTCACTAATTTATTCAATCATTAATTAACGCTTCATTCACTCATTCATTCACTCATTTATTTACTCATTCATTCACTCATTCATTCACTCATTCATTCACTCACTCATTCATTCACTCATTCATACACCCATTCATTCATTAATTCAATCACTAATTCGTTCATTAATTCATTCACGATTTGTTCTTTCCCTGAATCATTCACTCACTCATTCACTCATTCATTCACTCGCCCATTTATTTACCCATTCACTCATGAATTAATTCACTAATTCATTCAGTAATTAATCCATTCATTCACTGATTATTTCATTTATATAACTAGTGTTCTAAAACCTTACCAAAATGTTTGCTTGCACAATTTAAAATGTCCTGAATACCACAGACGCAAGAAAACAAAGCATAAATAGCGTATGTATTTATTTTTACGCCTATAAAATAAAAAATATATAATGATTAATTCGATTTTTTTTAATAATTTTAAAAAATATTTTGAATCGAATTTTCTATATAGAGTTTATAAAGCAAGTCAACAACAAGCTTCGTCTCAGTAATGTTGTATACAGGCAATATTCTACTCTATGAAAAGGCTTTTTATACAACCAACCGAACTCCCAAATTGGATATAAATTTATTTCTAGAGACGCTTTGGAGTACGCCCATCGACAACTCTTTATTTCTGAAGAATTGGACAGTCCCAACATGAGAGCCGAATCCTATTTGAACCTCGCCAGAGCCCACCAGCGATTGGGTGGTTTGGAAAGGTAAGTTCCCATTTACGATTTTTTTTTTGAAAATATGTTATTCATTCTCTGAAAAGACGAAAAAAATTTTAGAAATTCTAAATCCGTTCAGACGTGGAGGTAATTGGTTCAAATAAGTTGTCACCAAAAACTCCAAGACATTTCACGTGCAATATTGCGTGTACTGCGACTTGGGTTTTCCTCCACAAGTGTGAAGTATTCTTATGTTTTTCATCTTCATGCGTTGGGTTTATTCTACCGGTGTCACGCATCTCTGAACAACATTTTGCACTATTCGGGAATTCAGGAGATGTCTGGGGTAACGATTTGCATACAAATAACACGTCATCTTTAAATCATATTCGTACTCCCCCTCCGCGTACACTAATATCATATCCGCTTCATAATTTCAATATGGCATGTTGAAACAAAATTACGTAAATCAATATTCGACGAGAGCAAGCTAATCAAGCCATGCAAATAACCACACTTAACTTGACTTAGTTACTGCATTGTAAACAATTGATCAGTTGATTAAGTATGCAGGGTCGACCTATGTTTCGCGTAATAATTCTTGATCAAGTTTCTGGAACACATGACGCTTCAGACCATAGATCGACTTATTTCAAGAACACCCTGTACAGTATTCAAATTTTATAACTTCAACAAATTGGACAAGAAATTAGCTGAAAAAATATAATGCCGGTTCAGCCATTTTACTGATATACAGAATAGAAGATATATAGAACATATCAAAAAAAGTTATTTACAAGAATTGTATCCAACTTAAAACTGCACATTTTAAAATTATTTTCGGATATACAGAGTGTTACATATTACCAGGGTGAACCAAACATACTATTTTTTAAACGGGACACCCTATATATTATTTCAAATTTAGATTAAGCTCATCTCACCCATGCTTCCAATATAGCGTTTAATTATGTTATACAGGGTATGTCAAAAGTTATGGTCAATTGTATACGAGAATCATTTCCAGCTTCCTGTATACCCTAAACAAAACAACTTAACAATAATTTTTTGCAGGCATAACTTTTTGATATTGGTACAGTTTTACGAGAAAGAGCCAGAACTCGAGCACATAATTGTCTCAATTTTTTTAAATGAATCACCCTGTATTTTATTTTAAAAACTAAAATATTATGTTCTTTCATTTTTATAAGCATTCCCTATAGCTAAAATCATTAATTTCTGAGATATTTACCATTTAATAACGAAAATAGAGATTAAAAAATTCATATTATAACAAGTTGGTTAATATTATAAGAATCTCATCTTAACAACGGATATTTTGTAATGTTTTATAACAATTTGTCACATTTGCATTTGCCCACGGCCAACTTGTGATATACAGGGTGTCCGGTAAGTACCTCCTAATCTCTCGGGAGTGTATAGGGGAGGTCAAAATAAAACTAGTCCTTCCTATAATTTTTTTTCCTAATGTGCCCCATAACGGAGTTATGGGGGGTCAAAGGAGTACCTAGAAATTAACGTTTAGGGTTATAACTTTGAAACCACCCTGTATATTTTAATAAAATTTTCGTACGTTGTATTACACATGGAGCTCTACGATTTGATGCTAAAATCAACTTTTTGCTATTATCAGGTGTCCAGAAACGGACTGGCCCTATCACAATTTTTCTCAAAATTTTGACAGAAGTAATTTTATCAAACTGAAAATATTATTATTAGATACTCTGAAGGTTTTTCTTTAAAAATGGTACTCTTTATTTATTTCGAAAAAATGAACGGTTTGCGAGATAAATCGGTTTTGAAAAAAATTGGTAACAAATACAACAACAATTAAAATTTATTTTTTTACAATAAAATCATTCCCGCTAGTGCCAGCCTACAGATTCACCATAAACATTTACTGGTGGTGAATTAAGGGAATGAATAATGCCGTTTCTTGTAAAATCAACATCTATGACCAAAATACATCTACAAATTATTATTGCTCTTGTCTCCATGGAGTTCTTTTCTATTGTTTTCGTTGTTAGACCCTGTTGATTTTAAAGTACTTGTCAAAGGCGCGTGACAGAATAAAAATTCAATTTTATTGTGGTATTCGTTTTAAGCCGTTAGAAATAACATTTAAAAATGGAAGAATATTCCTGTGCAGAATATGCTGATATGCACCTAATTTATGGGGAAGCATTATGCAACTCCGTGGAGGCAAGAAGACTTTATGAGGAAAGGTTTCCGGGTCGACATTTGCCGAGTCCAAAAACTTTTGAAAGAGTTGATCGTAGTTTAAGAGAAACAGGTAAAAAAAAATAGTGAAAAACGTTAGTGAAACTAATTTCTTCCGAATCCTTTATTTAGGAAGCTTTTTGCCACGCCGTGGTGGAGCAGGAGCCCCGAGGAGAGTACGAGACCCTCATGTAGAGGAACAAATATTGGAAGACGTTGCTAATAATCCTTCAAATAGCATAAGGAAGCTTGCGGCGCAAAACAATGTTACAAAATGGGCTGTACATGAAACTCTGAAAGAACAATTGCTTTACCCGTACCACATCCAAAAAGTACATGCTATGTCTCCAGATGATTATCCAAAAAGACTTCAATACGCCAATTGGTTTTTACAGCATCATATTCGGAATCATAATTTTGGTACATCTATTTTGTTCACCGATGAAGCAGGTTTTACAAGAGACGGCATAATTAATTCGCATAATCTACATGTCTGGGATGAAGAAAACCCTCACGCTTTAGTTCAAACTCGCTACCAACAAAGGTTTATGGTGAATGTGTGGGCTGGCATTATCGGGAATCATTTGATTGGTCCATTTATTCTGGAGCAAAGACTTAATGGTGCTCTTTATTTGCAATTTTTAGAGGAAAATCTAAATATTTTGTTAGAAGAAGTGCCCCTTCAAATAAGAACTGAAATGTGGTACATGCATGACGGTGCACCACCCCACTTTGATCGTTTAGTACGTCAACATCTGACGAATGTTTTTGGTGATCGATGGATAGGTCGAGGCGGACCTGTATTATGGCCACCTAGGTCGCCCGACCTAAACCCATTAGACTTTTTTCTGTGGGGTCATTTAAAAAATAACGTTTATTCAACACCCGTAAATAGTAGAGAGGAACTTCTGCTGAGGCTAACACAGAACTGTGACCATCTCCGCAATAATCACGGAATATTATTTCAAGTGCACCGGGAAAACATTCGTAGGATTAGAAAGTGCATTGAAGTACGGGGTGCTCATTTTGAACATCTACCGAAGTAACATTTAGGTACCTTTGTTCATTGTTGAATGTTCTTTGTTGCATGTCTTGTAAGTAAGTTATTTTTCAAATGTTATTTTTAATTGGTCACTACTTGCTCATAAAGTATAGCCAACCCGTTCAAAGATTTCTGGACTTGATAAAGTTAAAGAAATTAAATGCATGAAATAATATGTAAAAAAAATAAATTTTAATTGTTGTTGTATTTGTTACCAATTTTTTTCAAAACCGATTTATCTCGCAAACCGTTCATTTTTTCGAAATAAATAAAGAGTACCATTTTTAAAGAAAAACCTTCAGAGTATCTAATAATAATATTTTCAGTTTGATAAAATTACTTCTGTCAAAATTTTGAGAAAAATTGTGATAGGGCCAGTCCGTTTCTGGACACCTGATAATAGCAAAAAGTTGATTTTAGCATCAAATCGTAGAGCTCCATGTGTAATACAACGTACGAAAATTTTATTAAAATATACAGGGTGGTTTCAAAGTTATAACCCTAAACGTTAATTTCTAGGTACCCCTTTGACCCCCCATAACTCCGTTAGGGGGCACATTAGGAAAAAAAATTATAGGAAGGACTAGTTTTATTTTGACCTCCCCTATACACTCCCGAGAGATTAGGAGGTACTTACCGGACACCCTGTATAATAGAAATTTTTTTAAAACCCTATTTCTGTTATTAAATGGTAAATATCTCAGAAATTAATGATTTTAGTTATAGGGAATGTTTTATAAAAATGAAAGAACGTATAGTGTATTTTCAGTTTTTAAAATAAAATACAGGGTGATTTATTTAAAAAATTGAGAAAATTATGTGCTCGAGTTTTGACTCGCCCTATGTTCAACTGTTACAATAATAAAGAACTAGCACTTTCTCGTAAAACTGTACCAATATCAAAAAGTTATGCCTGCAATAGATTATCGTTAAGTTGTTCTGTTTAGGGTATACAGGACGCTGAAATGGAAATGATACTCGTATACAATTGACCATAACTGTTGAAATACCCTGAATAACAAATTAAACCCTATATTGGGTGAGACAAGCTTAATCTAAATTTGAAATAATATATAGGGCGTCCCATTTAATAAATAGTATGTTTGGTTCCCCCGGTAATACGTAACACTCTGTATATACGAAAATAAATGTGCAGTTTTAAGTTGGCTACAATTTGTGAAAATAACTTTTTTGATATCTTCTATAATAAAGGAGATATCGTACTTCGACGCAATAATGCCACACCCTGTATACTGACATTTTTTTTAATTGTAAGCTGAAAGAAATAGCAGTTTTAAAGCTGTTAGAGAATATATGAGAAGTACTAAAAAATTCAACAGCCTGCCAAAAAAACATAGACGAAAAGTTGATGAGAAAATTATGGTTTCTCGGAAATCTATATACAATAATTTGCAAAAAGTTGCTGCAATGAATTTTTTGTAGACCTTGAAAATAAAAAAAATAAGTACATATTATATATAATATCTCAAAAACTTAAATAACTAGAGTGGGTTTGAGAGTGTCATTAAGTCAGTAATAAAACGGTTTTAAAATTATCCAATTGATCTATTTTTCCATATCTTATAGTTTCAGATTTTTTTTTCGTTAAAAAATATAGCCAAAATTTTAAAATGTAAATAAAGCTGGTAATCTGCTTACTTTAAATTGACCAATTTATTGAGAGATAAAAAAGTATGAACCTGTTAATTTACGGAACAGAGTTTCCATCAAATTATTAGATTTTCTCCCTTACTGGAGACTAACTTTAATCGATTATTTTAAAATCTGTGTTAACAACGTATGCACAAAGTTCTAATTTTGCGAGTAAAAATTTTAATTTGATGTATCATGTAAAAGTTGCGACACTTTCTAATACCTCCCACCTACATGTACTCATCAAAGGTATTTCAAACGGGTAGGTATTCGTTTAATTTAAAAGCTCCACCAAATTTAACTCGCTGAATTTAGGATATTTCAAACATGTAGTTACATATCCTCTAAATTTAATTATACACGGGTAGATGTATGAGTTAATCCCGAATTTGAACGTTAAAAATGTTTTTATATGGATAGCTTCCCGTAACCTATATTTTTCTTCATTTTCCCGTCAAAAGTTTAATTCAAAAGTACACTGTGTTGAAACATTTTATACCAAAATTCACGCAAGAAGTAAATTTGATAGAAAACACAGGTTTTTATTTAAAAATTACAAATTTTTTTATTGATTTATAAAGTATACAGTAGACGGTTATACAGGGTCGGAAAGTCCCCATGGTTCATCGGCCGTTACGTGAGTGCGATAAAGTATGTCATAGAAATCCGTGCGATAGAGAAGGGTGGCTATAATGAAGGCGTCTCATAGTCACCACCCGTTTCGCCCTTCCACAAATAAGATCCACTTCCACTTGTAATTCAGCGACCGGTGGTCATCTTTATTTTCGTCGTTTGGCTTTTCTTTAATAGATGTCACTACTTATACAATTTTGACTCCGGTATTCCGATATGTTAATACAATCCGTTAGCAGAGGGCAGCACAACGCGTAACAACGAAAACTTTTTACAGTAGCTAGTAGATACCTCTGTTTGTAAATCTAGTGACCTTGTTTCCCCTACTGAGAAGTTATTCAAATAGAGTATAGTGCTCAGCTGCATTTAAAGTTCATTTAGTTGTTATTTAAGTATACTTTTTAAAATGACTTAAAAATCCCAAGAAATAAAACAATATTCCCTATTTCCCCAATTCTAAAAAAATCTGTAGATCTGGCATCACTTTTTCTAGGGCTGCCCTTTGTTAACGGATTGTATTAATATATCGGAATACGAAGTCGGAATTGTATAAGTAGTGATGGATTTCTATGACTTACTTTATCGCTCTCACGTAACGGCCGATGAACCATGGGGACTTTCCGACCCTGTATATGGAATAGCATATCGCGTAAATGGCCTCCACGGCTTTGCTGAAAATTTTCCATGACCGTTTTGCATAAATGAAGCTGATACAGCGCTCAACTTCCTGCCTCAAGGCGTTCAAAAAACTCAAAGAAAAAACTTCAACGGCGTTAAATCGCATGATCTGGACGGCCAATTCTGATTACCAAAACGGGAAATTACACGACCAGGAAATGACTTATGCAGTAATTGAATTGTTTCTCGAGTTTTATGACATGTGATATCGTCTTGTTGATACCACATGTCGTCTGGATCCATATCTTGCAATTTAGGCATAAAAAATTGGATTATCATGTCAGGATGGCAAGCACCATTAACAGTAATTGCCTGGCCAGCGGCACTTTTGAAGAAGAATAGTCCAAAAAAATGTCTTATACTTACAATTTCTTCATTAATTTATTGTCATCAATAAATTGACAAATTTGTGTATTATACGTAACAATTAAAACAAAAATGTATTACACTGTAATAAAAAGTACGGTAAAATTCCTCGTACTTTCCATGGTAACCTGTTGCCATGGAATGTTCAAGTAAAATTCATGTATAATCAACATCTATTTTAAAGGATTTACTTAATATTACATATATGAAGTGTGCTTGAACATTCCATGGCAACAGGTTACCATGGAAAGTTCGAGGAATTTTACCGTACTTTTTGTTACAGTGTAGTTTATTCGACTGTGTAAAACTGCCTATCTAACTATGTTGTGATTTGAAGCTTTAAAATCAAAGACAGACCGCTCTAACCACTTCGTACGCTACGCCTATGATAAATCCAGAGGCAATTTAACAAACTTTTAACGCGGACCGCGTCGGGCGAGTTCTTAAAATTTTCCTCATTCCTGTCGCTGCTCTGGGATTACTCCCGAATCTCTAGAAAGCGTGGTCCGGACTGACGCCCTAGCAACGCCGTTACCACGGAATATAAAAAGTTTTCCTTTATTTATAAGTCTCTGATTAAGCGACATTTCACTCAAAGCGTTTTTTGCGTGCTGGATTAAACGAAATTTACATTAAAACGCTTGTAAACATGTCATTGTCTAATTAGAGGTTTAAAATTACTAAAACTCAGTTTAAATCAAGGTTTAATTAGGTTTTATACAGGGTGTAACACAACAAATTTCTGATTCGTTACAACAAAGAAAAGAAGAAAAGTGACTTTTTCGTATAACAGCCGCGAATTTTTGTTAATAGCTTCCCCACGGCCTTTAATGCATATTTTTCCAAATCTGAAGGATTGTTTCCCTCAAATTCGTTTTCGCACATTTCTACTTTTATTTTGCGCAGAACAAACAAGACAAGGCCAAAGCAGAATTGACAGAGAAGAAGCTAAAAATATACCACAAATAAATTACTCAGACAACATACGTATATCATTCCTTATATTCCAGAGCTTTGGCTTACGCGCGACACTCCCTCTACAACGAATGCGAACAGCACGCCACTGCCGGGCACGTCCACCTCACCGTGGGCTCGGTCTACCTGGAGTTGGCCGGATTCAACAAGGCCCTCGACAGCTTCCAACACGCTCACAGGATCGCACAGGCGGTACACGATCCCGCCTTGGAGTTACAGGTAGATATATTAGTCCATTGAAAAGTTACATTTGGGGTTGCAAAAATCAGAGCACGCAATTTTATTTTTTAGATGTCAAGAAGGGGATTAGTGTGCATCGGCCGCCATCTTGTAAAAAGTGCTGCGAATGTTTTTTTTACTACTACTATACCGGCTATATCGGGCAAACTATTCGTTGCACAGAAAATTTGTAAATACATTTTTTGTTGAAAATTAAATTCTCTACAAATTTGGTATCGTAACTTTTAGTCGTAGAACCAAAAATAACAAAGTTATTAACGAAAATAGATAAAAATTTGGGAACGAATTTTCTTTTGGTCGATATAACTTTTTTCTGGTCATTTTACAAAAAAATTTCATCAGAGCATTTTGATAGAGGGGTTTTCAAGGAATAATTTCCATTACAAACTTTTTTCAAATTTTATTTATTTATTAGGGTTTTACAGCGATGCGAATCTTACACTATTCTCCAGTACTAGTAAGTATACATTAATAGGCATAGTTTTCTCTCATCTTTCCATTATTTTTATAAGAAACATTTTATTGATTGACATTGCAATGTTGTTAATTAGAATTTAATTTGCAACAAAAAATGTATTTAGAAATTTTCTGTGCGACGAATAGTTTGCCCGATATAGTAAGTAGTAGTATAAAAACCATTCGCAACCCTTTTTACAAGATGGCGGCCAATGCACAAGGGTTGCTACACCACAAACATGGATTTAACTTTACACTAACCCCCTCTTGACATCTAAAAAATAAAATTGCGTGCTCTGACTTTTGCACGCTAAGCCCAAAAAAATGTAACATTTCAATGGACTATATGGGTCGTTTCACATCAAATGTGCACATACCCTACTACAGTTTTATAATAAGACTTACGAGATGCGAAAACTAATTTTTCATTTTTGAACAATGTGATTGCAGTTAGGTGAACGAATAGACCGTAGATGCTAGTGAAATCGAAAAGTACCAGATTCCCTTTGTTTAGCAGAATTTTTCTACAAACTTTGACAATTTTGACGTTTCACAATAACAAAATTACAACTTAACTTTAAAAAAATCTATTCTGTATATTGGCGCGAAAGTTTATATACAGTGCGTTCATAATGAAAGGAACAAATTCGTTTAAAATTCAGGTAATTATTTTGTGGAAACACGCTCGGACAGTCGATTAGTATTTTTAGTGGCGGATTTTTTGTCTCAAAAAGAAGTCATCGTTGATTTTTTTAATGGAACACCCCGTATTATTACGTATTTTTGAATTACGGTAAATTCTGAACACTTTGTATAACATACAATATCTCTAAAATCAGCGGTTTTCGTAACAATGACGTTTGAAAATTGATATTTTGAAATACCCACAAGTAATTATAATAATAATAATGACCGTGTTACTAAACTTTCCAAGCGCTTGGCTTGCAGCGCTTGGAAAGCAGCGCTTTAATAGTTCGCTTGCAAGCGCATGCGGTTCCTTTAAACTGGTTCAAATATCTGTTTGCGCTTGCTCGCGGTTTATTTGAAGTTTGAATTCATAACCACAGATCAAGACATAACCTAAGTTGTCGCAATGGACCCTCTTATAATGTATATGTTTTGTGAAAATACTAGTAATGTATTATTTGCAAATGCACTTTTACAATTGCAAGAAAGAATCAGTGATTGTGTAGACTTTTGTAATCAACTTCCAGCAAATTTAAAAATTAATACACTACACTACAACCTTGTAAGTCTGGAGTAAGCTTTCAATTTAGATTTCTTCTATTTTTAATTTTTTAACACAAATACAAATTATAAAGTTTTCAAATACTGTAATTTTAACCTAAAATCGAGTTGTCACATTATTCGCGCAAGCGCAAATTAACTGCTTACACCGGCTCACACCAAGCTCAAGCGATAAAGCGAGAATATTTGCGCTTGTTGATTTTTTTAGCTGCTTAATTTCAGCGCAATCGTTTAATAAATGACAGCAGAAAGCAGCTTGCATGCGTACGCTTCCGCTTGGTTACATTAAACACGGCCAATATCTAATAAATGTTTATTTTTTAAAAAGTAAATAAATAAAATATTTAAATTGAACAACCTTGAAAATTTTTTTAAAAGCCAACAGAAATAACCTGAAATGCTAAATTTTATCTTAAACAAAACAATTTTCTTCGTATTAATCGATTTTCATTCCTTGACCCCTAAACCATTTTGACATAGTATTTTCTGACAATAAAAACCAAACTATCACCGGCGTTTAGTTTGTCAGGTGTCATTTTAAAATGAATTTATCTGACAAAGAACGTATTGAAGTACTAATAATTGGTTTTGAAGACAGAATACGTACTCAACAAAAAGTGTGTAATTTATTTAATGTACCTAATTCATCTTGATCGACCGCCAATTACTAGAAAATTGAATTGAAATTTGCTGAACATGGTCACGTTAGAGATTTGCCTAAAGGAAGACCAGCAGAAATATCAGAAGATTCTAAACCAGACGTTTTACTAAAAACTGTAAGTAATCCCCATGTAGCCGTTAGGACAATCTCCAGGAATTGTAATTTGTCATAGGGATCTGTGTCACAAATACTCCGAAAAAATATATATCACCCTTATAAGATTCAATTGACACATGAACTATTAGAAGACGATTTTGACCGAAGAACACCCGAAAGATTATTTTTTCTGATGTGGCTTCTTTTGTTTTAAATGGACACGGAAACAGACAAGACTGCAGGTATTGGGCAACTGAAAATTCTCGTTGGACACAAGTCTGTCATACACAGCATCGTGAAAAATAAATGTTTAGGCAGGTATTGTTGAAAACCGAATTCTTGGACCTTATTTTTTGAAGAAAATTTAAATGGAGCTACTTAGACTTTCTTCAGTTATAACTCATCCCCGTTTTAGCTGTTGTGTTTCCTAATCCACAAGACCCAGATATTCCTCTTAATGACATATGGTTCCAACAAGATGGGGCACCTCCTCATTTTGCAACTGCAGTTCGACAATTTCTTGACTTAACTTTTTCTAGAGAGGTACTATTGAGTGGCCACCAAGGTCGCCTTTAGATTTCTTCTTATGGAGTTATTTGAAATCTAAAGTTTATGTGAATAGACCAAATAAACTTGATGACCCGAAGCAGAGAATACGCCAGGAAATAAAACTTATTCCAGCAGAGGTAATTGTTCTTCTTGAGACACCCTGTATGTTTCTTATGTTAAAAAATCCGCAACTAAAAATACTAATCGACGTGTCCGAGCGTTTTTTCCACAAAATAATTACCTAAATTTTAAACGAATTGGTTCCTTTCATCAAGATTTTTCGTAGTTTCTTGAAATTTCCATATATTTTCAAGAACAATATACAGGGTGTCCCATTTTAATGTCCCACCCCAAATATCTCGAAACCCGAGCAGAATGAGGAAAAATGTTTTAGACAAAAGTTATAGGGTTCGAAGGGGGACATACGGTGGTGATCTTGAAAATGACCTTGAAGTCGATTTTCAAGGTCAAACGAGGGTCAACTTCGATTTTTCAAATGAAAACCCCTATTTTTTATTGTAGGATCGTATTCTACGGAAAAAAATACAAACTTTTTGCAGGAAATTTTTTTTCGAAAATGCATTTGTTTCCGAGTTTTTCACGAATTTCGTTCGTCATGTTGTTTGAAGTGTCAGATGGATCCTATTGACCACTAGGACAGACTGGGGTATTATTTCACTAGAAACACTAGTACTCGATGGTTGTGTAACTAATCCGGAACAGCGAAATTTCAACTCTCCGAATTAACACACATAAGGATCGTCTGGACAAAGTGAAGAGGGGGCGCGTTTGTTTCTCTATTATTTTGAATAGCTGTAAACAATTTTCACCTGATAAAATCAAAGGTGTGAGAGGAACAGTTCAAGACAAGGATAAAATTGCTGCCAAAAAATCGAGGGGAACGCACGCCCCCGTTCCTCTCCTCAGAGAACTCTAGCAGTCTCATGTGTGTTGATTTGATTTGTCAAGTTTGTGTTATTTTCTGTTTTTCTATTTTCCAGCAGCAGCGCGATCGGTAGGGGCAGATGGGGTAGCGAGCCTCTCCTGCCGCAGCTCCCTGCTCATGTAATCTTCAAGCGTCTTCGAACATGCGGTAGGGGCCCGGGAGTTGCGCGATGGCACGTTCTCGCTCGGTCTCTTCGCTCTCGCAGTAATGCTGATTATTGGATCGTACCGAACAATTAAAAAATTTGATAATTTGATAAGTTCCGTTGCCCTGCTCTCGAGCATTGATGACTCAGGCAGCGAGTAATGCATGAATCCCAGCCAGGATCCATCTGACACTTCAAACAACATGACGAACGAAATTCGTGAAAAACTCTGAAAAAAATGTATTTTCGAAAAAAAAGTTTCCTGCAAAAAATTTGTATTTTTTTCCGTAGAATACGATTCTGCAATAAAAAGTAGGGATTTCCATTTGAAAAATCGAAGTTGGCCCTCGTTTGACCTTGAAAATCGACTTCAAGGTCAGTTTCAAGGTCATCAACGTATGTCCCCCTTCGAACCATGTAACTTTTGTCTAAAACATTTTTCCTCATTCTGCTCGGGTTTCGAGATATTTGGGGTGGGACATTAAAATGGGACACCCTGTAGAACAATATCTATGTTTCTAATAACATGAAACGAAAAAATAGAACACATTCTAGAAACATGTGAAACAAAAAAGTAAATAAATGTATAAACACAGTATACACTAGGGTGATTTCGCTACACTGGCACTGGTCAATAACTTGATTATTTATTTATGAAAACTCCATAAATTATACATTCTTATAAAGATTATTTTCTTCAATTAAGGCAAAAATTCAATAAGGCGTCCATAATAAAAACAAAAGTTAACTACCGCTCAGCTCACATTTTTAGAGGTACGTTCATACTGACAGCAAAAATCGATTCCTCACATCATTTAATATCAGACTAAAAATTTTCCGAAAATCTTCGGAATTAATCGGAATTTTCTAAATTTAAAAAAGAATCCACGATCGGCATGAAATTCTACATATTTTTGCTTATTTCTGTATCTCGTAAAATAAGAAAGATACCTGTATTGGAAAACTTATGAATAGCTTTTAAAATAAGGTAAAGATATTAACTAAGTTAGTGGTACATAATATTGTGCCGAAACTTAAATTAAAAAGGGGTCAACAGAGAACAAAATAAACTCTATAAATACCAAATATCATAATAAAGATAGGTTATGGTACAGGACAGAAAATACGGCCAAAATGGAGCTAATGAAAAGAATGACAAAAGAACAATGCTGAATAAAGACATGATTTACTACTTAGTCCTAAAAAACGCATAGATTTATGGCCATGGTGTATATGTCGCTTTTAGGGGTCAATAAAGTGTAGACGCAATGGCCAGCAGTAATCGTAATGTAGTTATTTAAACCAATAGCCCGGTCATTATAGACATGAAAGAGCCTGTTTCGGGAAAAAATACGATTAGAAGTTTCTCTTCGGAATATTGTTCGGAAACCTGTTATAAATAAAATATCAAAAAATCAACTCGAGGCTAGTTAGGAAACTTTGTTTTAACAGTGGTCAAAGTTATGGAAAAGTGGTTTTTTAACTCGTGTAAAAAAACTATTATTCATAGCGAAAAAAAGTTTATACAAAAAAGGTAGGTATTAAATAAGCCTATAAAATGAGAAAAGTCCGATTAAATTCCGATAATTTGTTTATGCACAAGAGCTCAAAAATGGTCGAAAATTGCCGTTTTTTTCAATTGCTAATAATTAATGCAATTTTTATCGCAGACACTTGTAATTCAGGATTTTTGAGGCTTTTTACACCCTTAATAAGTGGTAAAAATTTCAGCTCGAAAGCTTCATTGGTTTGGCGTTGGCGGAATTTGTTATCTAAGAAGATGCTATTTTCAATTCATTTTTCCCAAGCTCACAGGCGTTGTAGGGTTTCGATCATTAGTTGTTTTTGTACCTAAATAGTTGTATTGACATATGCATTTACTGAGAATTTAATTTTTCAAATTTAATTTGTTTAAAAATGACTGAAAAAATGTTAATATTTATTAAATTGTTAAGAGCGGTAATTATTATAAAATAAAACAGTAACCTCTTTACTTTAGTTTTCTTCGAATTTAAAAAAAAAATCGTTGTTGTAAGTTGATTAGAAGCTGAGATAATTTTTTTTTTTTATTTAATCGCAGTGACCTTAATTATTAATATTAAGAGCCGAAATTTGGAGAGAGTATACATTAAGAGCTATATTTTCATGTCCTACATTAACATTAAGGTGAATTCAACTATTTAATTTCGAAAAAGAAGATAGCGGCGATGCGTTCTATTACTTGGTCTAGCGAACGAGTGGGGAAGGCGAGGCTTAGCATGCGCGCTTAACGATGTAATAAATATTAACATTTTTTCAGTCATTTTTAAACAAATTAAATTTGAAAAATTAAATTATCAGTAAATGCATATGTCAATACAACTATTTAGGTACAAAAACAACTAATGATCGAAACCCTACAACGCCTGTGAGCTTGGGAAAAATGAATTGAAAATAGCATCTTCTTAGATAACAAATTCCGCCAACGCCAAGCTAATGAAGTTTTTGGGCTGAAATTTTTACCACTTATTAAGGGTGCAAAAAGCTTCAAAAATCCTGAATTACAAGTGTCTGCGATGAAAATTGCATTAATTATTAGCAATTGAAAAAAGCGGACAATTTCGACCATTTTTGAGCTCTTGCGCATAAACAAATTATCGGAATTTAATCGGACTTGTCTTATTTTACAGATTTATTTAATACCTACCTTTTTTGTATAAACCTTTTTTTCTCTATGAATAACAGTTTTTTTACGCGAGTCAAATAACCACTTTTCCATAATTTTGACCATTGTTTTAACAAAGTTTCCCAACTAGTCTCGAGTTGATTTTTTGATATTTTGTTTATAACACGTTTCGAAACAATATCCCGCAGAGAAACTTCCAATAGTATTTTTTTCCCGAAAAAAAGCTATAATGACTGACCTACAATGTAAATAATATTTTCTACTCATGTAGAAAAAACATACAATATAAATTATTGAGTAACAAAGGGTAATCTGTTTATAATAAATTCAGGCATAACAGCATAAATAGAATCATTGATTTGCAAAGGGTTTTATATGGACTTGTATAAAATTTAGATATATGTTTCAAACAAATTTAAATAACACTGGCAACTTCGCCATATATTCAATTCAATTTTAATTTAACCAAACCGAATAACTTAAAAATAGTGCCATGTTTATTGTCTGTTACAAACAAAAGCACAGCAAAGTCAAACAGTCGCATTGCAAATGCAATAAAAACAATAATACTTATCTTCCCTGAATAAAATTAATTTTTGTTTTTCTGCATTTGCTGTAATATAGCAGTAATATTTCGGGAAATCACCCAAAATAAAATGAAAAGTACTATATCTACTAAATGAGGAATAAAAATGTTTTTACGCCTTGCGTAGGTATGTGTTGTATTTTCTATTAAGTACTTACTAAGTATTGTTAAACTTTTTACTACAAATCTCTCTCATATTTTATAGGTGTATGTTGGATTATCTGAACTTTTCAGTAGACTTCAGGATGCCGACAAAAGTGCCAGATACGCCTCGAAAGCCTACGACCTATCAAGATCTTTGCAGCTAGGAGATTTAAACTCACGACATCACAGGTATAAAACGTGTATACGAGGTGTGTTCAGAAAATAATCGATTTTTTTATTATGCACTAATGGTGATATGCGGTTGGCAGCATTGCGTTGCTCATAACCACATATTAATGAATTGCTGATATCTTACTTAGTTTTCATGATATTATTATTTGAGTGCAATGTATTTAAGTGTTAGTGAAGATTTTTGAAATGTGCGATTTTCTGGAACGATGCAACGTAAAATTTTTCGTGAAACTGGGGAAAACTTTCACGGAAACGTTTCAACTTTTGAAACAAGCTTACGGAGATGATGCTCTGGGTCGTACGCAATGTTACGCATGATTTTCAAGATTTAAAAGTGGCCGTCGGTAACTTGAAGATGATCTTCGACGAGGAAAGCCTTCGACATCAACTGATGACTCATACGACGTTCAGAAAGTCAAAGATCTGGTGCGTGCAAATCGCCGATTGACTGACAGAGAAGTTGTAGAAGAGGTGTGGACGTTTATCGGCAACCCCTTGAAGTGACGATGAAATATTCATTCAAAGAATCATAACGGGACACAAAAGCTGGGTTTACGGCTACGACATCGAGANAAACAGTCGCATTGCAAATGCAATAAAAACAATAATACTTATCTTCCCTGAATAAAATTAATTTTTGTTTTTCTGCATTTGCTGTAATATAGCAGTAATATTTCGGGAAATCACCCAAAATAAAATGAAAAGTACTATATCTACTAAATGAGGAATAAAAATGTTTTTACGCCTTGCGTAGGTATGTGTAGTATTTTCTATTAAGTACTTACTAAGTATTGTTAAACTTTTTACTACAAATCTCTCTCATATTTTATAGGTGTATGTTGGATTATCTGAACTTTTCAGTAGACTTCAGGATGCCGACAAAAGTGCCAGATACGCCTCGAAAGCCTACGACCTATCAAGATCTTTGCAGCTAGGAGATTTAAACTCACGACATCACAGGTATAAAGCATGTATACGAGGTGTGTTCAGAAAATAATCGATTTTTTTGGTTGGCAGCATTGCGTTGCTCATAACCACATATTCTTGAATTGTTGATATCTTACTTAATTTTCATATTATTATTTAAGTGCAATGTATTTAAGTGTTAGTGAAGATTTTTGAAATGTGCGATTTTCTGGAACAACGATGCAAAGTAAAATTTTTCGTGAAACTGGGGAAAACTTTCGCGGAAACGTTTCAACTTTTGAAACAAGCTTACGGAGATGATGCTCTGGGTCGTACGCAATGTTACGCGTGATTTTCAAGATTTAAAAGTGGCCGTCGGTAACTTGAAGATGATCTTCGACGAGGAAGGCCTTCGACATCAACTGATGACTCATACGACGTTCAGAAAGTCAAAGATCTGGTGCGTGAAAATCGCCGATTGACCGACAGAGAAGTTGTAGAAGAGGTGTGGACGTTTATCGGCAACCCCTTGAAGTGACGATAAAATATTCATTCAAAGAATCATAACGGGACACAAAAGCTGGGTTTACGGCTACGACATCGAGATAAAAGTTCTATCATCTACTATTGATGACATCAAAGCAAATTCGTCATAGACTTTAAAGGCCATTTCAAATGAAGCTATCCAGCACTGCTTTGCGAAATGGAAAAACCTCTGGGAAAAGGCTGTGAATAGGGGAGTACTTTGAAGGAGACAAGGACTGACAATGAATAAAATTAATAATAAAAAAGATAAAGTTCGGTTATTTTCTGAACAGACCTCGTAAATCTTATAGAGATGATTCACAGGTTATCCAAAAAACTTTGGCGGTATATGTGCCATTAAAAATATAATCGATATCACGAGAAAAAGATATAATAAAATATTTACATATTTTGGAAAAAAATATGTGAAATCTTTATGTTTAAAAGCATAGCTGGACGCTTGCAGTGAGTTTATTAAATTGCTAGTGTTCCTCCAAGTAACTTCAGCAGTCATAGAGCTCTTATTACCTAAATTTATTGTTGACGTCAACTTATTAAGTGCCCTAGTATATAGCAATGCAGAATTAATGATATTGTTTTAATTTACGATGAAGCAAGACAAAGTGCATTAGTAGCTTCTCGCTAGTTGTAAGCAGAACATTTTCAGGGTAGATATATGCCATATGTTCCAACATTTACCGCTAAATTTTGAATATTGTAAAGAAAATAGGTACACATATAAGTAAAATGCAAATCATTTGACAAATTTCTGGAATGTCCCAATCAACATTGTGGAGAATATTACGCGAGGCTCAAATGTATCCCTGTCATGTACAGGGGATTCCAAAACCGTTTTCCTTTGATAAAAGCAATAATTAAATTCGCTAAAATAAAACAACTGTGATGAACCTCTCCTACATTGTTAATTTTCGTTTTTGTGCCTACCGGTCTACTGTGCGTGCTTTGAGCAAGGTCAGGTCTGCCCAATTTCAGTAGCGTGTAGATAACTAATATTTTAAAATAATTTTCGAAGTGCCTGATTTGATTTTTTTTACACTATGGTATTTGTAGGAATCCATTATACCTACCCTCATTTTTTTGAATCTATAAAAATTCCAGTTATTTTGTTAATAAACAAAATGAGTGTTCCTTCAAGTGATCTTCATACTGCGGGATCACTTAAATGGAAAGCCTTTACTTTCAATCTCAACATGTGGATAGTTCTGTTGACATATAATAACCTCATAGAAGATAAAATTCAAAATATTATGGGCATACATATTACACATTTGTTTGTAAAGGCATTGAACAAAAAGTACTTTAATCAATTGTAAAGTCAGTTGAAATCAAATACACAACGCGATATGTTGTAAAGGCTTGTATAATATTATAAAGGAGCTTTCCTTTAAAGTGATCTATGTATTTACGCTGAAGTTACTTCAGAGTACACAGATCAAACGATTTAAAAGCTTCTACTCCTTTTAACCTCAACCTAGTTCTGTTCACGCGTACTAACATCCTAGATTCTTCCACAGCCTGAGGGATTAATAGGGAATGTTACACGCGTTATATCAATAATAATAATTTCTTTCAGAGCTGCTCTTTTGCAAATGGCGTCGGCCCTTAGGAAACAAGGCGAACTAGGAGATGCACACGATTATTGTTCGGTGGGTATCCTGAAACTTTTTGAACTGTCAGAAATAATGATGAAATGTTTTTTAGGAAGCAACTAGGTTAGCGCTAGTTTCCGGGGATCAAGCCACCTATGCTAGAAGTATAAGGATAATGGGGGACATCTATAGGAAAAAGTCTGACATTAATGTAAGTGATGTTGATATATTAGGAACGGAGGTAAATTACCTCCTAATTACAAACATTAAAATAAAAAATTACGTATAAATTAAAATTTATGAAAATATTGACAGTTTTAAAAAACGACCTTCTTTTTTTTCTTTGAAAGCAAGAATATAGAATGTTTCTCTGAATTATTGCATTATTTGAAAATGTAAACATATCAGGTATGCGTTTTTCTATTAATTATTTAAACATTTCATTTTATTTCGGATAATTATTATTATCTCTGTCTCTGAGATTGGATGTCTTTTGCATACCTACATTTCTGGTATCGAAGAATGTTGTTTGACTTCATTTGATAGGATTTGTTTGAATTAGCCTAATACCTTAAAAAAGGAATAAAAACATTTTGGAGCTAATAATAGAATGTATGTATTTTATGAAAAGAACTTTACCTTGAAGTCTTATAGGGAAGATACAGGAGTTCAAGTTTTACAAAATAGTCGATATTTTTTTATTTTGTCAGAAATAAATCAAATATCCAAAATCACTTGGTTTGCCTGATAGATTACTATGTACAAAATACGGACAGGAGTAAGTTTTATAAAAACCAGTGGTGTAGGTATATGAATAATCGTATTCCTGTATACAATTTAAGCTCGTATAACTTTTAACTATAAATTTTAATTGTGAATTAGTTCGTTATTTTTTATAAGTATGTCATTAAGTATTTATCTATTACGGTTTGTTGAATGTTGAATTTTTTTAATGTTATCTCACAGATCTTCAATAAAATCGGACAATGTTTTTTAATAAAAGAAAAACATAAGTCAATAATATTTTATCCAGTTGTTAAAATTAAAGTTTAAAAAAAAACTTAATTTTGATTTCGATTTTAATTAAGTATTTTTATTTGATGTTCTTCGAAAATTCAACTAATGACATTGACTAACTAAACAATAAAAATTCGAAAAAAGACAAACAACGTTTAATCAGTTCCATGAAACGTCCGTATAAATATACTATTTGGTGTTTTTTAGAAAGCTTTTCGGCAGTACGAGACCGCAATGGGTTCGGCGGCGGCGATGGGCGACAGGGTAATCCAAATGGAATCAATGGACGGAGCGGCCAGGTGTTTAGAAGCTTTAAGACTACAGCATAAAATTTGCAACTGTAGACCACTGGAGTTCAACACGAGACTATTAGAAGTAGCCAGCTCTGTCGGTGCCAAGGTAATATTTGACATCTGTACTAGAGTCGTCAATTTTTAAATATAAAATTTAAAGACAACTCTACTATCGCATTCGCATAATTTAAATAAAAATACAAGTATTTTATATATAGGTACATTTATTAAAAAAATAAGACATAAAACAACAAAACTAAAAATTAAAAAATACCTACTCTATTGGGAACTAATTTATAATGATGCAAATGTAATATTTTTTTTATCATTAATTTTGTTTAATTTATATTTTTCTTGCTCTGAAACTATTTTACACAAATTACTCAAATCAGACTTGAAAAAGATTTTTTTGTTAAAATTATTTTTAAATAAATTTCCTCAAACAATAGATCCATATTTTTTTAAGTTTTTCTTGCAAATTGGTACTTTCCATTATTGTAAACAAATTATTAAATCGTGGACAATTATTTTCTACTAATGATAAACGGGATGTAATTAATTAATTATAACAGAGATAAATCATTTCTAATTCGTAAAATATTTCAAACGGTCCAAGCCGTTCGTAAACCATTTGTAACGTCACACCGTTCGACTGGTTCGACCCCACGGCTCCGTGTCTTATTGTCTCAAATTATTTATTTGTGGTATATTTTAAGTTTTTTCATTTATTTGTGGTATAGTTTTATTTCCTGTGAAATAAAAATTAACAAAAATAATTTTAGTGGAGTGAAGTGTCAGTTAAGAGTTATTTTTATTAAACTATTTTGCTTAATCAAAAATCGCACACTGAAAATAGCAGACAAGTAAAAAATACACATCATTATATTACGCACTTCAATTGAAAACTGTGATGCAAGAAGGGATAGGTCCGTTATTTGAAAAAATTTCCAATATCTATCTGTACGGAATATATTACTATTATTCATGTCATCCACCTGGCGTAAATTTATAAATAAAAAATAAATAACACTTTACTTACATATCTCATTCCTACCTGATAAACAGATCATAATAAATCATAAATTCCCTTACATTAGGGTCGATAAATAAGTTAACATTTTTAAAATCAATGTTTTCTAGTTATTTGTCATCTTTCTCACGTAGAGACGCATCTAACAAAAATGACAAAACTGAGTTACGCCTTTATGTATTCTTAAACTAATGGTATGACGTCACAACATAGTTTCCGAACGTTTTTTTTTCGGCGCTCCGTTTTTGGCACATTAACTGCCTACGACATATACTTTCTGAATAAGAATAAAAGATACTAAATAAATCCATTATCACAGATGAATTGAACAAGCCCGGCTTTAGTGGGGGCTGGCAAAATTAAACGAAAAAGTGTTTAGGTTTTGCTTTTTTTTAGGATCAAGCCAAAAAGTGTTAAGTTTTGCAATTTTATCGCTTTTTTATTATTATTTTAATAAAAAGGTAATTTTTTAAATTTTCTCTGTCCCTTTGGATTAAATTTTGAGTATACGCGAGAGTGAAACAAATATATGCACAATGTTTCTCACGCCATGGGCAGAGAAAATAATAGTAAAAAATTACAAGAGGGCAATAATTACCATCATTTCCCACCTCATAAGGTCAAAGGACAATATCCTAAAATAAAGGACTGTCCTTTGGAATAAAGAGCAGTTGGCATTTTTGGCAACTGCATTTACACCAGGAAAATTAGCGAAAATAAAAGAGAAACTCGAAAAAAGTCCTATCCGCTAGATTATTGTAAAATTGTCTAAAGGAACATAATACAAGACATCTCTCGTCTCGTGAGTCAAAAACTTTTATTAGCTAACTTTTCTATTTAAACAAATAAGTGAGGAAAACAGTTTTTTCACTTTGCAGGGAAAACCATCAATTTTAGCGAAAAGTGACTCTCAGACAGCTTATAGGGAGTAAAATTATCTACAAAATGAGAC